CTTGAGTCCAAAAGGGACCAATTCCAACTTTTTTTTTATTCTACAAACAACATAATTTGAATTGCCTTGCCATATAAAATTATTAAATATTCAACTAGAAACCTTAACTTACCTTGTTATTGTTCGTCTTCTTGATTGATGTCACACATCGTGAAGTTAAGAATTCTTGACAATTTACGTAACCTATACTAACACAACACTAAAATTAACACTTAAAATTACTGTACAGTTCATTAAGTAAAGTTAGTTTTGACTGCCAGCTGCTGAAGCCACACTGGTCGAAGGCACTTGGGTTGCCTGTGAGGCCTCACTGGTTGAAAGTGCTTGGCTTGCCTGTGATGCCTCACTGGTTGAAGGTGCTTGGCTTGATTTTCTTACCATATAAGAATTAAAGAACTTGCCTTCTGTGTTCATTGGCCTGTTGTATGATCAGCTCTTTGGTTTGCCTCAGGTACTGATACATGTTTTTAACTTCAGGATTAGCACAATTGGATGAAAAATTAATTAATCCGTCAACATAGGTCATGAGTAAACTGTATTTCGTGGTCTGTGGTGTTGGTTCTTCACTGCCTTCTTCATCCTCCTCCTCTTCGTCGACCTCACCAGTAATTGACTGGAGAGACTCGTCTTCACTCATCACACCATATCCTGGGTCATTGGCATTTCTTTCAAGCCAATTAATCACATCCTGACTTTCCAAGTTTTTGCTAGCATTTCTGAACATTCTTTGGATTTCAGCTGTAAATCCTTCAAAATTCATTTCTTCTTCATCCTCATTACTGACCGTAGACGTGAGAATTTTTTTCCAAGAATTCTTCAAAGTCGATTCCTTTACTTCACTCCACACCTTGGCCTAGTTATAGATGGCATCCTTCATTGTATAGTTCTTCAAATTCTCAAGTTTTTTTTTAACCCTCTTATCCACACCGAGTTCCACATCTTCCGGAAGAGGAAAATCACCAAAACTTCGTTGAGCATCTTTTTGGTGTACAACTTCTTCGTGGCACAGATAACTCCTTGATCCATAGGCTGGATGAGAGATGATGTATTAGGAGGAAGTGCCATACACGTTATCTTGCCATCATGTGAGGTTAAGGTGTCAATTCTGGGGTGGGCAGGCATATTATCAAGCAACAGCCAAGCCCGAACTTCGCTTGGCCTTACTTTGAGTTTCTTAACTTGATTGTAACGAACTTCCCTGCAGAACACATCATGAAACCAGGAAAGAAAGATCTCCTGCGTAAACCATGCATTCTTTGCATTACAATATTTCACAGGCAGTCTGTCCAAGCAATGTTGCATGGCTCTTAGTTTCTTTGATTTGCCAATAATTGCACACATGATTCTGTCTGTGCTGTCGGTATTCGCACACATCATGGCCAACAGCCTATCCTTGTTAACCTTACGGCCTGACACACAACCCTCATTCCTCATAGCTAGAGTTTTTTCTAGTATACTCCTCCAATACAGCCCAGTTTCATCAGCATTATAAATTTGATAAGAATATAAATGATTTGGCAAAATGTATGTTCTTAATTTATGTTTAAATTGTTCTACACTGCTTGTATCTGCACTCAATTTTTCACCGACAATTTTTCTCTTCACAATATTGTGCCTCCCTTTGAACCTTGCAACCCACCCTTCACTAGCTTGGAAATCCTTTATTCCAAGGCTTGCTGCAAGCCTGCTTGCAGCATTTTGTATTTCTGGGCTGTGAATTGTCACGCCAGTTGTGCCGTGTTGAGCAAACCACTTGTACACAGCCTCATCCAACTGTACATGCGTCAAAGTTTTCAAAGTTTTTCTACCACACCCTCTGCTAGTGCTTGCACCTTCACTCTCTTTGGTTGAAATGTATTTCAGAATATTGCTCTTTTTGTTTCCTTATATCAGAAACAGTACTAGTGCCTATATTAAATTCCTTGGCAACACTTAAGTCGACCGGCCATTTTCACAAAGTTGTATAATACGTAACTTGTCTTTAATTCTTAGGACAACCTTCTTCCTCTTAACACCTCCAGAATAATTAATGGTGCTATCAGACATAGTCTTGGCCAAAAATGTTCAAAGTTACTATGAAAATAAAAAAGTTATTTAAAAAAATATTTCACTAATGGTGCAGCACTGTGGTATAACACGAGGGACGGGAACACATGACTTGACCAGACCTGGATGGGTCTACTTAGGGCAGGTAGAAACGTTACGTAGATCGTCAGGAGGAAAAACTCACAATATTTTTTAAGGAAACTTTAGCCTGTGGAAATTTTTTTAGGAAACTTGTATATTTGTTATTACATAATTACTAGTATTTCTTTTGTTTTTGGCTATGATGAATTGTTCTAAAATTAATGGTAATTCCTGTACTGTAGCGTATAGGCCCCTCCACATCCCCTTTATCCCCCAGGTGGTCCCTCCCAATGCTCCCCTCTCTCCCAACACGAAAACCTCCTACGCCATGCGCCTCGAGCCACAGCCGTACAGTATTAATACGGTACGGCCCGCCGCCTGGCTTTATTATCTGGGCAATTCACCGCTTGTCCGACTGACTGTCCGGATAGTGTCCGGATCCCATAGACATTTTGGCCGGATAGTGAGATAACTTTATCCGGCCACAATTTTAGCCGGATAAAGGCATTTTCCGGATGGTTGGATTCCGGAAAAGCGTATGTCTACAATACTTTTGTGGATGGTTCAAGTTGCTCAGGGTTCAACCACCCGGCTCAACCATTGCTCAGGGTTCAACCACCTGGCTCAACCGTTGCTCAGGGTTCAACCACCCGGCTCAACCGTTGCTCAGGGTTCAACCACCCAACTCAACCGTTGCTCAAGGTTCAACCATTCTGACTGTACTTTGGTGGGTCATTGCCTAAAAGCGGGGGTTCCCTTCAATTCTTGGCTTTTTGGGGCTGGTTACTGCGAGGGGCTCGTCTGCCGATTTCTCATGGTTTGGCTCTCCGTACAGCTGATATCACATCCTGGGAGTGTCCAATAGCCTGATGAACCGTCGGTCTTTGTTCGTTTCCCTGTCCATGAAATGGACGGTCGATGCCGACTCCTTCAGTTGGCTCTGCCAGATGTATGGGCTCCCAGAGGTTGACCTCTTCGCGTTGGTGTGGTCTCGGGGTCTTCCAATATGTGGCGCCCTTCCCTCACCACAGAGCGTTTGCGGGAACTCCTTTTGGACTGGTCGAGGTGGGGTTCCCTGTACCTTTTCCCTCCGGTCCAGCTGTTGCCTCGGGTTCTAGCTCAGTAGGAGTTTTACCATGGGAGAGTAGTCCTCGTGACCCCTTGGTGGCCGGCCAAGCCTTGGTTCAGGCATTGCTTGCTCGGTGTCTGAACCCGGGGAATTTTCTGCGGCTCCACCTTTTCCAGCAGATCGAAACAGTCCGGTACCCAGCTGGTTCTGTCTTCTCCTCTGCTCTTTGCGTCTGGTCTTTTTGACAAGGGTTTATCACTATCTCTATGGTGATCAGGTGGCTTCGTTGATGGTGTCCTACCTGAGAGCTTCATATCGGCAACAGTATGAAATTTCTTGGCGTTCGTTCTGCCATTTTCTCTCTCTTCGTAGGTTGTCTTCTATTTCTGATCAGGTTGTCATGTCCTTTCTTTCTTGACTTTTTCAGGACTGTCATTTGCTGCCAAATGCTGTCGCCTTGTATCATGCTGCGCTGGTGGAGCCGCTCCAGCTTGCGTTTCGGGGTGGATGTTACTTCTGCCCCGTTCCGTAAGCTTTCTCTTGCTTTGTTTCACCTCCGGCCTGCTCATGCGCCACCTGAGCTGTTCTGGTCCTTGGACAGGGCGCTCTCCTATCTTTCTCCTCCTCGATTCGTGGTGCCCCCTTCAGCTCAAGATTGTTTTTCCAAGGCTCTCTTTCTGTTGGCATTGGCCTCTGGTGGACAGTTGGTGAGCTTCATGCTCTCCTCCGGCGCAGGGGGTTTCAGCTCTTTCGGTCCTGGTCATCAGTTTGTACGGTTGCAGCCTTCTTCTCTTCTGACAAAGAACGACACGGCTGCTTTCCGGAGGGATCCTTGGGTCGTTGATGCTTGGTTGGTCAGGCCGGGGGTGTGTCATGTGTTGTGTCCGGTTGCAGCTCTTCGCCTTTACCTGCACGCCTCAGCTTCTGTGGCCAGGGATGTGCTTTGGGTTGATCCAGTTCCCCACGTTCCCTATTCCAGGGCTTGGGTCTCCCAGGTTGTCCACAGGATTATTAAGTCTAGCCAGCCTGGGGTCTATCCTCTTGCCCATGAGATTCGGAAGTTTGCTGCTTTGGCTGCCGTCTTCGTCACCGTATCTTGGGCTGGTATTCAGGCACGGAGATTTTGAAGGTTGGACAGGGTCCTGTCTGCCCATTATTTGGTTAACATTCCTGGTCCTGGGCTTTCGTGTGTAGCTTTGGGTCTCAGGTTGCAGCTGGTTGTCTCGACTTCGAATTGACAGACGCATGGCTGCCGCCTCTTGGGTATGTCCCTCATTTCCTTATCTTTGGTTATGTAGCTCCAGGGAACCGAAGGGGCTCCCCACAGAAAACCATTAGCCGGTGCGCTGGGTCTGGGGGCTCCCTCCTCCCCCTCTTGGGGGGTGGGGTGGGGGACTGCACGAAAGAGCGGCGTGGCTGCGTGGTGTGACGTTTGCTGGTTTGCTTGTGAATTGAGGGAGTTCTGCCTCTCGGTTTGGTTTTCAGTTGCAATTTTCTTACCATGTGGCGTCTGTTTTGTTATGCCTACCTTTTTGGGTCCCTAACCCGGTCAATGGCAGATAAGGAAAACCCCCCAAACATGAGTGAGTTTTCTAGGGCCATTGCTTCCTGCACCTTTCTGATTGGGCAAGGTTCTGGCTCGTGGTCCCCGGTAGGCTGAACTCATTTGACTAATGCCCTGGTCTAATGAATTGTATATTAGCCCGATAGCACCAGGGAGCCTCTGAGGCTCACCCAGAAAGTGGCATTTCATTACATTTAATGCTTGTTTTTATGCAGTTAACATTTGGTGTGTGATTTACAGATTCAGAGTTTGGCGAGTCCAAACTTGTGTATTGACACAAGATTCAAGCATCATGGCGATAGATTTGGTCTGCAGGAATGTGGTCGAGGAGGAGAACAAGCATTTCATTTAACATGGCACAAGGACTTAAGGCCAGGCAAGCGTTCTGTATGTTGGGATGTGTCCAGTGGTGATGCTCAGGCACCTATATTGCTGTACAATTGTCATGGTATGGGTGGCAATCAACTTTGGAAATATGATCCTGTAAGTATTTGAATAAAAGTTAAAAGCTTTATTGAAGAAAAAGTATATTATATTATTTAAATTTTTATTGCTTTAATTTGTTGTGGGGTGGCCTCCTCAGTGACACCTGTGGCGAAGGGTTCTCCCCTTTAATGGTGCCACTGCCACCACAGGGTACCTCAGTCACACACAGAGGAGGTCGCACATATATATGATATGATCACTACATACAAAATAGTAACAGGAATTGATAAAATCGATAGGGAAGATTTCCTGAGACCTGAAACTTTAAGAACAAGAGGTCATAGATTTAAACTAGCTAAATACAGATGCCGAAGAATTATAAGAAAATTCACTATCGCAAACAGAGTGGTAGACGGTTGGAACAAGTTAGGTGAGAAGGTGGTGGAGGCCAAGACCGTCAGTAGTTTCAAAGCGTTATATGACAGAGTGCTGGGAAGACGGGACACCACGAGCATAGCTCTCATCCTGTAACTACACTTAGGTAATTGCACCGGTCTTGTCCTCCTCCTCCTCCTCCTCCTCCTCCTCCTCCTCCTCCCTCCTCCTCCTCCTCCTCCCTCCTCCTCCTCCCTCCTCCTCCTCCTCCTCCTCCTCCTCCTCCTCCTCCTCCTCCTCCTCCTCCTCCTCCTCCTCCTCCTCCTCCTCCTCCTCCTCCCTCCTCCTCCTCCTCCCTCCTCCTCCTCCCTCCTCCTCCTCCTCCTCCTCCTCCTCCCTCCTCCTCCTCCCTCCTCCTCCTCCTCCTCCTCCTCCCTCCCTCCTCCTCCTCCTCCTCCTCCTCCTCCTCCTCCTTCTCCTTCTTCTTCTTAACCCCCCCGTGAGGAGTGAGATAAAGCCAGCTGTTCCCAATCCTCCAATTTCTTCTCAACAGGCACGGCACTGTTCAGGGCTCACTACTACTGGCTTAGCCCCTCACAAAATGACACTATTTCTGCAATAAGGTCACCAATCTGGCAAGCACATGTGTTATCTCTAGATAATATTCAACCTATGCACAGACCAAGTTCATTCCATCCAGCAGTCACCCCAAGGACTCGTTCATCAATTTTAACATGCTGTTCATTCAAAATTGGAATTTTCTCAAATATAAATTAATATTGTTATATATTAGCATACTGTGCATATTTAGGCATTGGTTAGGTTAGGTGTTAGATTCTGTTGGAGATTATTTGTATTTGTAGTACGTGGGTGAAACATTTACAGCATCGTGGTTCGAACAAACGATGTCAGCGAAGCACTTGTTCCGGAAGTGTTCAGATGTCAGATGGGAGATGTTCAGTTGGGAGCCGGTCGGCCTAACGGACAGCACGCTGGACTTGTGATCCTGTGGTCCCGGGTTCGATTCCGGGCCCCGGCGAGAAACAATGGGTAGAGTTTCTTTCACCCTATGCCCGTGTTACCTAGCAGTAAAATAAGTACCTGGGTGTTAGTCAGCTGTCACCGACTCCTTCCTGGGGGTGGAGGCCTGGTCAAGGACCGGGCCGCGGGGACACTAAAGCCCCGAAATCATCTCAAGATAACCTCAAGATATCACAGTGGGATGGGAAAAGACCTATCGTGCGTGCTCCGTTAAAATCGTGACATTTACTGGGATTTCTTAAGACTGCAGTTATGGATTACTGATTACAGACATCACAAAGTGCATAGTGACCCGTTGGAAAGTTGAATGCAGTCATTAACAATAGAACTGTGTGTTAAATAGAGAATAAATGGGAGACCACGTGGAAGTAGCGCCACAAGGCTCTGTGTACATGCGAGTAGGCGATATAAGGAAAAAATAATGATCAGTGATTCGTGGAACAGTGAAGTGGAACGGGTATCACAACACACATATAAGTTGGAAGTGTAGGAGAATCGTGCATAGAATATTATAAATATAGAATATTAGAAATATAGAATAGTGGCAAGAGACGGCATCAGCTAGGTTGTGTTTACACAAGCCACGAGGCCTACCCCAGGGTACGACCCTCAGTGATAATATATGGACAATATATAGTGTAATATGGAAATGTGGATCTAGGAATTAGTAATAAAGTGAGTAAATACCATTGCAAGCCAGAAATTAGGCAGAAAATTCCTTGTAAGAATACAAGTGAAGAACAAATCAGTATTATAAATCGAGTAACTGGAAACTGGTGGCATCAACCTGGAACAAGGGGGTCAACTGTACAGCACCGGGGACCATCTTCGCTACCCTACGCTAAGTACCTGCTATGAAGTTTGAACAAAATAACATACATAATACTACAAATATATGGTATACATATAATATTATAAATATATACATATAATTTTATAAAGAATAAAATTACTGAAATCAACAAGTGATCCATACAGTGAAGTACAAATACAATACAATATATCAGACAATGGAGATGTGTGTCGAGTGTTCGGAAGTATTGGGAATACGTACTGTAGGCGTCAAGTGTTGCATCTGTAACATAAGATTTCACCTGGGCTGTGCAGAATTATCTCCAGGATGCACAAACAGGCAAGGAATTTACTGGTTTTGCAACGATGACAGGTTAATGTGGGAGAACATAACTAAACTGATGAAAAACATTCCAGAGTCAGAGATTATCATTCACAGAAAAGCTACCAGTGATATATGCGGACTGGGAAAAGAAAACACTGGATAACGACCAAAACTCAGGAACAGGTAGTTTAGAGAACCGCAGCTGTGGTGTGGAGGAAGAGGGTATTGTGGTACAAAACAACAGCAATATTGTAGAGCCAGTTAATATAAACAATGCAAACAACAGTGAGACAGTGCATAAATGAAGGAATTGGGACGAAAGACGGAGATGGCTCCAATAAAGAGGTAGGCAAGACAGGCACAGGTATAAATACCATGAAAAACGCAAAAACTGAAAATATTTGCAAATTCTACACTCAAGGAATATGCAGATAAGGAAAATTAGGAGCAAAATGCAATTTTCTGCATCCTTGAAAATGCAGGAACATGTTGGCGAGGGGTACATGCCGTTTTGGAACGGAGTGTAGATACTTCCACCCTAAATTATGTCAATTTTCAATTAGGGACAAAAAATGCTACAATCTTCAGTGTCCAGAATTCCACGTGAGAGGTACACAGCGTTATAGATGGGAAGATCAATACGACACTACTGGAAATTTTTTAGAGGATGGCAGAAACAGAGTAGAAAATATAAGAGTGAGGAACAGTCAGATGGAACCACTACAAGATTACAGAGGGGAAGGAAGATACCCACAAGACTGTTATACAAATTATCAACAAGCACACAGGTACTACACCACACAACACCTATCCTACTACTAAAACTGGACGAACCACTTCCAAAACAACACACCCTGGACCTGGGTAGAGTGGGGGGAGAACTACCAAAGCCCACCAAAAGTGACACATGGGAAAAATATTCATATTTGCAAACATACAAGGCTTGAAATCAAAATCAAGAAATAAGGTGAAGTTCATAAATGGCCTCCTAATAGAATCGAACTCAATATTTGGTGCATTTACAGAAACCCACACAAAAGACCACATGGATAGTGAAATCTAGATTCCGAATTATAATCTATATGGATGTGACAGAGTAATTAAGTCAAATGGAATAGTAGATCTGTATATTAAAGAGGAGCTGGCATGCACAGAGCTCCTGAACTCGTCCAATAAGGTGGTAGAGGTACTTGGAATCAAGGTAGAAAATATTAATTTACTTATTATTTTAATATACAAACCGCCAGATGCAACAGTTGAGGAATTCACAGAACAGATCCACAAAATAGAGAATATCCTTAATAACCTAGCAAACCCAGTACCAGATATTATCTTCCTTGGAGACTTCAATCTACCCAGTTTAAAATGGAGAATAGTAAACAATAACAGTATAGCAAGAAATCAACCTGGAAATAACCAACCACAGGTCAGAGAACTACTGAGATTCTGTGACAAATTCTTGCTCAGCCAGCAGATTACAGAACCAACTAGGAACGAAAACATGCTGGACCTGATATTCACCAACAATGAGGAGCTAATCAGAGTCATTACTGTCTCAGATACTATGGCTCGGACCACAAGCTCATTGAAGTACAAACTAACATTAAAAACGATAGTAGGCCCAAGAGAAACAACAAGTGAGAAGGGTTATTCAATAAATTCAATTTTAATAATAAAAGGATAGACTGGGAGAAAATAAACAGGGAATTTACAAACATTCAATGGGAAAATGTTCTAAGAAATAACAATCCTACACAAGGAATAGAAAAACTGACTTCTGAAGCATATGAAGTCTGTCTGAAACGTGTTCCTTTGAGGAAAGCCAGAAAGAGGTCAAATGTAGAAAGAGAAGGCAGACAACATTACAAAAGAAGGAAGAAATTAACGGAAATGCTTAAGCAGACACGACTCTCCATACAAAGAAGAAATAATTTAAACAGGGAGATTGAAGAAATCAGAGACTGAAGCATTCTTATCAGACTGAAGAAAGGCAACTAGAACAGAAAGCAATTCAAGAAATAAAGAAAAACCCAAAATATTTCTTCACATATGCTAAATCAAAAGCGAAAACCACTGCCAGTATTGGACCTAATCGTATTAGTGAAGGTTCATACACTGAGGATGACAAAGAAATTAGTGAAATCCTAAAAAAGAAGTACAAGGACATGTTTAGCACTCCAATGCACAGCATGAGAGTGTTAGATTCGGACAATTTCTTTACGAGTGATATCCAAACACCTGTAAATATAACTGATATCAACATGAGCATAGCAGATTTTGAAACAGAAATTGACAATGTGCCCATGTTCTCAGCCCCGGATCCAGACTCATGGAATTCAATATTTATATAGAAATGCAAAGCGCCAGTAGCACAGGCACTCAGTATAGTGTAGAGGAAGAGCTTGGACACGGGGAAGATACCAGATGCGCTGAAAGCAGCAGACATAGCCCCTCTACACATGGGAGGTAGCAAAGCATTGGCAAAGAATTATAGACCAGTTGCACTAACGTCCCACATAATAAA